ACAGATGCAGTTTTTGATTTAATTTTTTCAGACTAAAGCTAAAAGATGTTTTCCTCAGAAAACTGAATGACCACACTTCAAGTCTGGCAGCAACTGCTCTCAGCAGCCAGCATGTGGCTCACCTAACTACAAGTGTGTAACAGATACCAAAAGAGGAGGACATCTGCAAAGTCAGCTATGCCATTTGGAAAAGCTCGTGCCCAAAGAAGCTGAGGGTGCTCCAAACTGATATACCTTAAATTAGAGCAGAATCTGGAACAATGTAACCAGAGGAGGTGAAAGGGAGAAGTTTAAGACTCCAGGACACTTCCATCAAACACCAGTCATACTGAAGCTTGAATGTATATTCAGTAAATTGTGCCAAACCATCATTACTGTTTTCTCTCACATATTTCTTTCCCTTTCCTTCACTGAATTATGCTGTAAGTCCCTTAGAAAGAGTCTGAGTATCTACAGGCCTTGGAACACAATCTGTAATGGTATAACAGCAGAAATATTTAACAAAATTCAAGTCAAAGAGAAGATATGGATTTTTTTTAATTCTTACTTCCCTTGGCCACTCTAAGTAACTCTGGATAAGAACAAACTGTTTGTACATATCAGTAGAAGACCCATCATCTATAAACTTCATCTACAGTGGTGTAAATATGCAGAGAAATCCAGATATGGAATAGTTTGCTCACATATCTCTTTCCAACAGAATTTGCTTCTCGCTGATTTCACCTGTTATTCTAGACTAAAATGGGAAGTTTCTGCAAAGTAAATTCAGAATAATGTTTCTGGATTTGTCAGCAGTAGAAATCATAATTCATCATAACTCATCCCATAATTTCGAATGTTTACACAGAAAAGCCAATAAAATGAAGGAAAAAAAAAACAAACAAAAAAGAGAAAGCTCTTTCTTTGTACTCCACAGCACCAGTCATATCATATTTTAGAACACCTCTGGTACTACTATGTCAAAAAATTGCCAAACACAGCACAAGTAGAGAAGTATGCTCTTCTAATTTTTCAGGATTTCTTGAAAGTTTGTCAATAAGGTATTAGGAATTCACTCAGCTCTGAAAACCAAGTTATTTTTACACTCAAGTTTCTAGTTTCTACTTTGGAACTGCAGAACAGTCAGCCTCATGAAGTCACACTCCAAACCTTGCATGTTTCCCCACATTGTGCATATACATCCAAGGCCACCAAGACTATTTTGAGTTCATGGATGTGTCTGCTTGTACAGAAAAAAGAAGTAAACACATTTTTTCTGGAAACCTGCTTGCAGACTCAGGTCTTCTTCCGTATTCCTAACCAAGGAAAATTATTGCAATTTAAAAAATATGGAGAAAATCCTGCAATGTGACAGATCAGCTGTGAAAGCACACACTGAAATGAGGACAACCTTTAAGCCACTCGAATTTTCTTCATGAAACCAGATTTTTTTCTGTGTCATACTCAGCACACAGAGATTTTCATTTTTCAGAGCTATAAGGAATTCGACAAGTAAACCTACTACAGTTAATAGCATTTTAATCTTTATGCATAATAACCTACATTGTACAGGTTTGGTAATAATAACTGACAGCTGAATTTGAAGTACACATTTCGTTCCAAAATAGATGCATGTGTAGGTGGATGTGTTGTAGAAATATAATATACTATGTGGCTGAGCCCAGATAAGCTGGTGATTCTCAAACATCACTATCATCTGCACAAAGTTAGGGTGGAAATCTGCTCCCTTAAATACTTGTTCATCCTTCTTATAACACTTTCTTTAAAGGGCTCCATTAATAGTAGATAAAATAAGTATCTAATGAGGTACGACAGAAACTCTGATTGAGCTAAACAGCAGAGATTTGAATTCTAATAAATAAATAAATGAAGTAAAACATTTACTGCCAGCAACTATGTCAAGTTAGCCATAGGAAACTGTAGCTCTGCAGCTGGAGAAGGGCAATACTCTGCAAGCCAGAAAAGCAATGGAACTCCTCCAGCTTTGATTATTTATGGTGTGATGATGAAGGAACAACTTTCCATGTGAGGAACAGCTTTAAAGTCGAACAGTGAAGCTGAAACAGAGATTTAATGAAAAATCAGAGGGGAACAAAACTACATCTACAAAAACAATAACATTCAGTTTAACAATTTAAAAACATAATTTATGTGCAAAACCAGATGTTAACTTGTCCAGTTTCAAGGTAAACAGCAAACTGTATTCATAATAACCCTTCTGCTGAACAGCAAACATGCACTACTTGATGTTGTTGTCTATAAAGGCTCACTTCCTACCTCCAAATGTTATCAAAATGAACAAAAATGCAAAACAAACACATCTTAAACAAAGGACACATCTGTATTTAATGCAAAGCTATTTTCAAAAATCCCAACCTTTCATAATCTACTATAATCGTAATAGCCTGAAACATAAGAATGCTTTCAGGCTCAGAAAAAAAGGCTTCTAATTTTAAACATTTATGAGGATGCTGAGAAGTGGCTTAGAACCATGCTTCAAAACATGTTTTCAGGCTTTAAACTGCTGAAAGCTGAGACCTTTACCATTTTTCCTGGACTACAGGAAGGGAAAGGAGCACAAAAACATGATGAAAAGAACTGTACATGAAAATTTCTATTAAAAAAAATGCAACTGACTCCCTCATCTCAAAGCCCTTCCTCCCCTCCCCACTGCACCTCCTTCTCACTGAAAGGCACTGACTCCTCTTGCCTGATGACCACGACCAAACAACTCATCTACATCACTGGCTCTGATGCACCACTGTTTTTAATAAATACTTTTTGAAAATATTTTTAAAGGACAACTCTGCCATCACTGGTGCTGTTCCAGAACAGGAGGGAATCTGTCTCAGCACTGCATTCATGTCAGCTCACTTTAAACTATACCACGGAACGTGTGATTATGCAAGAAAGGTGATTTGATGTTAATTCTAAATAAAGATCTTTTAAATGTTTGGGTTTTTTTTCCAACTCTTAAAATGCACGTTAAGGGAATGAGCTTCCCTTTGATATAGTATAACTATGGGAAGGAGGCATTGTTCTCACATTTCTGTTTCAGGGAAAACACCATGCTATTTGATTTTTAAAGCTGAAGGATTTAACTTCAATTTGATTTTAAAGTTGGGGGGCTAAAAAATGCTTCTAAATGCAACACAGTCTACTAAGTTAAATATGGCTTCAGTTTGATTTCAAACACTGACTTCAAAATTAACTATTCCTTTCCAAAAGTGCCCATGAAAATAAATATGAATGTATTGTAGGCATTGAAAATGGGTGTGCCAAGAATAAGAACAAGTAGTATTTTACACTAATTCAGCACAAAAAACAAACATACAAAAGCAAAGAAACAGCACAAATATGTATTAAAACAACAGATAGTAGGAAGTTTTGAGAATCCACAGGGATTCTTCCACCTTACCAAGCACCTGTATAGTTCTATGAGCATTTTTTTTCTGTCTTTTATTATACTTGGCTCCTGCCCTATAGTTCATCTCCAGGGCAAAGCACCATGAAACAAGAAATTGCATTCAAAACTATTAGCTCATCAAAACTGCCTTTCTTGTTTAAAAACAAAACACATACACAAAGTATTGCAACAGCTTCTGGAATCCTATTCAGAAAGTCCAACGTTTTTAGATCTCTTTTCATGTTCTCATCACCATAATTTTTGCAAAACAGTGAGAGGCGACCCAGGACATTTTAAGAATGACTCTTTCATCGTTGCAAACCCTCAATTACGGCTGACCACAGAGATGAACAGAGTAGTACTGTGGGGACAGCACTGATGTATTTTTCAGCTTGCCCTCTAATGTGCTCTGACTTCCGTTGAACAGTGATGTAGTGATTTCTTAGACTGCCTCCTTTATTACTCCCAAAATAATTCAGTAGTACATAAGGCTTTGAGTAACAGCAGTTCAAACACCAATTTCAAACTAGATTCAATGGTTTTAATGACCTTTTTATCAAAACTGAGCTCCAGAACTCCATCCCTTACAGCTTAACCAGACTTGCCCCCTTGGAGATGTGCTGCAATGGTCCCTACCCTTGCCTGCCCTGCTGCCAGGGATCACAGGATGCACTGCTCCTGCGCCACAGGCTGCTACAGCTTTGCTCCCCTGGTAAGGGAATGGTTACCAGCTCCTGATATTGGAAGGTTAAGGTGTTGCACACAGTTCCTCTAGTACAGCAAATCTGGCAACACAAGCTGCCACATATTTACAAGTGAAGGAACAATTTCCCTTTAGAGCCAGAGACTGGGTCAGCTGTAGAGGTACAGAAGTGATACACCGAGAGTGTTAAAGGCAGAGTGCTAACAGTGTTGGCAGTGGTGCTGCTGTGACTGGAGGTGCAAGGAATACACTAAAAGTCCACTGTGAGACGTGAAGTCTATTGTAGAATGTCAGACTTCCCACAAGTAACCAAGTCAGATCACTATTTTTAAAACAAACTTGTTCTTTTTCATAAAGCAGTCCAGCCTGGAAAGCTTCAACTTCATGGCTAGCAAATAATTCATCTTCAACCCAAAAAGCTACTGGCAAATAAATACATGTAGAGTTTTATTTATAAAATACAAAATCTTTGCTATTTCCAGGATGGAATTTAACAACAAAAAGGCCTGCAAGCAATAAACATGGCTGAAGACACTGAAATCAAGGAAACCAGAACGAAAAGTTCTGAAATTACAGATTATAAAACTCTTGAATGCCAGCTGCATGTATGCACAAGTGACCAACAGAACTGCTTGGGAACATGTATTTACCACAAAATTTGGAAGCACGATTGGGACTGAAATTACAGTTACAGTGGGTTTCATCATTTCATTCAAGACTGATATTGCTTCATATAAATTGATTTATTTCTGTGTGTACAGTATAATTTCACTCATAAATCTTTTTCTTTGATGTTAACCATTAGTATTGGGTATTTGCTGCTATGAAGTTCCTTAAACACAAATATTAAGTACAGTGTTTCACAATCAGCTTCCAAGTATCCATCTGGAATGACACTGAATAAATATATTTTCTATTCACCAAAAAAAAAATTAGCATAACTTTAAAAAACTCCAACAAACTCACCCAACAAAACTTTGAAGTGATACTTCTGTTGAGTTAGTTTAGCAAGACAGTGAAAAAAACTAAAAAATTTGCTAAGGTAGTTGATGTTGTTCAGAGCATTGCAGAATTGAGCTTCAATATTCACCATTATTAGAAAATTCAATAATCCCTTCTTTTGATACTAAACTAAAAATTGTCCATAAAGTGGAAGGGTCTTCACAATTATGATGACTCTGCCAATGACTAAAAAGATCCTCTTTTTTTCCAAATAACTGTTTGCATAAAATGCAGTTATAGCCTGCTTTAGACCAAGATTCCATTTTTTTGCTTGTTGTACCAAACCCCATATTTTGTATCTCCTTGGTGGTTTCACCACTTCTTGGCTGAGTCACTTCGCCTTTTGGTAAAATATTGACATTATTTTGATGCTGAAAGTACATCTGTCTTTTCAGTTTTGGAAAAGTATAAAGCTCCTCCTCACGGGCACTGCATTTTGCTAAATGTCTTCTCTCGTTGTGCTGTTTCCAGAAGTGGGTTGTATGTTTGATTGGTTCCCCTTTCGCTCCTTTATTTCCTTGCAAACCCCCTTCTTTTACTCTTCCCTGAATCTCTTCTCCATGACAGCACAGTAAGTGGAACTTCATTTCACCAAAAGACTGTGCAATGAACTGGCATCGGCCACATTTGACCTGCATTTTCACTCCTCCCGGGTTATGAAATAGGTCCTCAAGATTGCACTTATTTCCCCTGCTAAAAAGAAAAGAAATACAAACTATTTCAGTATTAGCCAGGCACAGAAGAGGGATGGCAATTTCTGTCATAAGTTCCTAGATGAGATGACAGTCATAAAACACTTTTAATTAAAAATAAGCATTGTCTTTACAGTATCTAATTCATTTGGAAGAGAGGAAAAAAAAAGAAAGAAAATAATAGTAAGGTTGTGTAGGAAGCAACTGAAACCAAATGTTATTTGATACTTCTGAGTTTCAGAATTGCCTCCAAAATTATCCTTGGTAGAAATAATCTTTTAACAACACTAGCCTTTTAATAAAAGGTTGATAACTTTTTTTAAAGTTCCTGATTCAGTGAGATCAATCCAAATATTTCTAGTGCTGTGCTGGAAAAGTGAAAATGACTATTACCTGTAATGTACTACTAAGAGAAACTTCTTTGTTTACAGTGAGTGTTCTAAGGTCAATTTAAGGCAAAACCACATGTCCCACCTCCCTTTCCATGATGGAAACAATGAAACGTCAAAGTTTCTTGCTTTTTTTTTTCCCTAAAAGTCTGTAACATGATTTAGAAAAGTCTGAATAACTAATTCACAATTAGACAGCCCCTCTCCCTGACTCAGGACAGCTCTGCAGTATAAAGGATACACAGTCCCTGGTAATCTAAGCCAATCAAAACAAGATCTTCTCAGAAATCTTCTCAGAACATTTAGGAAAAGGATAATACTGTATTTATACACATTAGAGAGATTACCCAGCAAACCAGATAAACTGAATGATTCACTTTGTGATGACTAGTAAGACTGACAGAAAAGTGCTGGTGTTTCTTAGGCTCAAGATATTAAAAATTTCTAACTGATGCCCCAGAGAGTGAAGCTAGGCAAAGTAAAATGAGTAAAATTAAAATGTTGTGTTGCAGTGAGGGGTCACATTAAAGGCCTGAATGTTCTTCAGTTAAAGTAAATGCACAGTGGAACAAGTAAAAGAGCCAACATTTATATTGTGTCAAGAAATTTCACCCCAAAATCACAATGCAGTGGTAAAAGAAGGTTCTATCCACCCCAATATGGTAAATATTAACTTTTCTACTTGGCTGAGCGATGGCAAAAGCAGCAGTAATCAACACACAAGATGGATTAGCTCACAACACTCCATAGAAGGAAATGGGATAATGACATTTAACAGGGAAAACAAACTATAAGCTAATAATGAAATATGAATTACTTCTTGCTTACTGCAGTTGGTTCACTTGTCCTTTAGGGAAACCCCCAAAACAGGTAGGACAGAAGACAGTGCAGATTAACAGAGTATTAACCAACTGAGCCAAACAGCTCCAATGACAATATTACTAGAATATATGCAAAATTACTTTGGATACTCAAGTGTCAGTAATGATTTATAGTTGATAAATCAGCTAAAATATACTGGATGGTCTAATGGATTGACTAGATTCAAGGACAATATTTAAACCATTAGGAATCTCACTTGGCAGGAGGGGAAGCAACAATTTTCCTAATGGTGATGTTTATGAATTTCCACTGACAACTTGAAATCCTGTTTCCACTAGGATTTAATTAGCGAAAATGCTCACCTCTCTGTAGCTTCTTCTGCCTCTTTTACATTCGTGTCTCTCTTCTTTAAAGCATCTTGCATCTGTTGCTCGCTAGGAGAGGGCTCAGTGCTGATAACAACCCTGTGGACTTCTCTGAGGTGGCCAAAATACACTTTTGCATGGCCAAAAACTTTAGCACAGAATTCACAGCACACCAGCTTTTTGGGTTTGCTTTCATTGTGATGAAGCTTCATATGCGTGCTGAGCCTCCCAGAATAGATATACGCTTTCCGGCAAATCCGACAGCTGTAGGGCCGTTTCTTCGTGTGTGAGTTCATATGGTCCTGGAGATGGTGCTTGAACTGGAAGGTATGATTACAAACAGGACATCTGTGCAGTGGCTTAGGTGTGGCTGAACATGCATTTCTACTTGAATCACTTGATTTAGCTGATGTAGCATCACTTTGCTTGTAACTCAAATATTTGCTGGCAAGTGAACCATTTAAAGGAACAGCTTGCTCTGAATGGACACGAGGTGGTGTCTCTACTGTTGCAGGAGAAGTCAGTGGTGTGAAGGTCTGCACAACTACCACCGGTTTCGGTCTAATACTACGGTATTTTTTCACTGCTTCTGCTTTTTTGTCTTCAGGTGTCTGAATATCAACCTTCTCCCTCTCTCTTCCTTCTCTAAACTTATTAATGATGCATTTCCTTCGCTTGGTCTGAAAAGCCAATAAATCATCCGAGGCTCTTCTTTTCCTGCCTCTTTTTTTAGAGGCTGCACTGTTCAATTTTTTAAGACTGTCGACATCCACTTCACTGGATGGAGAGAAGGTGTTTTCTCGAACAGTTTGTTTGGGGGTTTGTGTAGATGATACAGCTAATTGCTTATCAAATGCTTTGGTTTTTGTCAGAGCTGGTGTCTTTTCACATTCAGATCTTAGTGAAGGACCAGATACATCCATAACATTAATATTCTGCTTAGATTTACAAAACAGTGAATTTTTCATCCTTGAGTAAGGCAAAATAGGAAGTTTTCCTTTTGGTGCTGATGGATTCATCTGTATTGTGCTGCCAAGAACGGCTGGTGACAAGACAGCAACAGGATTTGCAGAATTTGTGGGTTTTTCCTTTCGTTTCTCACATGTCATGACTGACTTTCTTGTGGTTTCCGATGTTGTCTTCACAGAGCGCAGACTTAGTTTCGGGGGATTAATTGTACTTGCTGGCTTGGATAAAGACTCTTTAACTACAGATGGTACAGAAATCTTACTGTTAGCAATTTCAGTTTTGCTCATTAAAGGAGGTCCAGATTCCACACAGTTGCTTTTTTTTACTACTGTGGCAACTGCGATTTCAGATGAGTCACAGTCTATCAGCGTCGTTTGCTCAGTTGAATCTGAACTAGAATGAGTTTCAGGACAGTCTTCAGTTACAGTAGTCACTGAGGAAGTCTGTGATGAGACCAATGCTTTCGTAGGAATCTTGTTATGTGCACCCAAACCAGAGATTTTTGCCAATTTTTTGTCACCTAGCAATATATTCCTTACAGACTGGTACCTAGGGATAGGCAGCTTTAGATTTTCAGAGGGGGCCACATTTGACTGGTGGGCTTGCTGTGTTAAAGCAGGAGCAACATACGGCACAGCCAGCAGGGAAAATGTCCCCTTCTGACCAGCCACCTGCATGACAGTGTAGTTCTGAGCTGGTACCACCAGTGGTTTAGAACCCGCAGCTGAAATTGGTGTGTTTGGCTCGGGCAAAGAAGACTGAAGACAAGAAACCACTCCAGGTGTTAAAATTTTTGGTACCATTTTTGGAGCAATGGTCCTAAACTGACTTTTCTTCTGAAAACTTTGTATTATATCCGAAGGGGGGTTGTGTTTATCTGTAAAAACAACACAACAAAGCTGTAATATAAATATAATATTTCTTTTTTAAAAATTACTGTCTCAAAACTAAAACTGCTTACAAAGGATACTATTACACACAAACTTACTAAAAATATTTTGGCATTTAAATGACCACCATGTTAAATTCATTATTGAAAAAGTTTTGTGGACAAAACAAAAGCATTGCCTGAAGTAATGTGCTTGAACACAGACACGCAAAAAAAAAACCCTCTTAAATGGATGTTTCATTCTAGGTTAGAAGCTACATGGCATTTCAGAACAAATACCCCCATAAGCCTCTTCAGCCCTGGAAAAGCTGGACTAGCATGTTGGCAATATTTAGCTGGAAGAACAAGGACAGGACACAGAACTTTTCTGAGCACCTGCTCTGATCATATCTCTCAAACAGAATCATGCTATCTTTCAAAATTTCTGTAATGTTTAGAATTTGTGGGTTTTATCAGATAAAGACCACAGTTTGCCTGATGAAGTCTTAAAAAATAACTGCTATAAACCACGTAAATAATATATAATAAAATCAAAGAAGACTTGAAAGAAGATGTACTATTGTTAAATATCCAATCACAAATATTGCTTATGTGCCATTAATGCTTAATACAACTACTGTAGTAAGTTATTCAAACATTTTCTTGAAAGACCCCAACAATCTTGACCATTGAAAATTCAGCTACAAAGATCCCAAGCAGTAAGGCACCTTGGGAAGGCAAAAATCACTTTGAGGGAGGAATCACATTAGAATAGAATACATAAAAGTAAATGCTGGAACCTTGTAATATTGCAGTAAGGTAATTCCATAGGAAAATTTCTATTCCCTGCCATTTTAAAGACTTGTATTACAAATGCATTTATATATGCTTCTGGACTTAAAAAGGTAACTGTGAATTACTAAAAAACACTGGAAACTCCAGAAAGTTTATCATCTTAACCCTGGATGCTCTTCTCAGATGTCACACACTTTGCAACATGCACTGAAAGTTACAGACACATCCTGTTTCATGACCAGAACTCCTGGACAGATATACATGAATGCTCATGGTATGCACATGTGCAGTAAATCCACTGCCTTCAGGACACACAGGATTCACTGAACAATCAAATATAAACTGCATAGTTCATACACAGTAGGTCTGATGCTTATCAAAACTCTTTGATCCACAGCATATTCATAGAGCAATAACTATGCAGGGCATAAGCCTTTGATCCTTTTATTGCCATCTACAGAATCAAACCCCAAGTCCATTATGTACCTTCTTTATTCTCCAATTAAGTGAAACTACTGAGCACCACCAAAACTTTCTGCTCAATGTCTGTATTCTATATTACTAGACATTCTGTGCAGACTGGGTTACTGTACATATGGAAATCCTACACAAATATGGAGATCCCTGTACACAGGGATAAGTCCAGGCCTACAGAGTTTGTGAAACCTGGAAAAAAATGAAACATGGCACAGTTAAAATTTTTTCCCCACAGCTCTTTTTATTCTCAATTTTTTTTTTTTTTTACAATCTACAGTCACTAAGTATATAGAGAAACCTTTACATCTTCAGCTGCTAAGATTGCTACTACTATTCCATTGATTAGTTGACTCCTGTAGGGTATTTTCTTGTTACTGCTTTTGAGTAGACACTTTTAAGAACCTCTGAGAAGAATAATAAAATGATGTAAAGTATTGCAATCACTAACCAAACTAGCTCTGAACTTCAATGCTAGTTACAGGTCAAATAGTATAGCTTAAATACAGCAGATGACAGAACAAATGTCCTTTTCTTTTAGGGACAGAGTCAGCTCTTATTTTTCCAGATTACGCTTGCCATACACTGATAATAAAGACTTTCTTCAAACCAGCAGCTACTCAGCTTGCCACTATATTCAACATGAAGCTGTTTCCATTCTCTCTCCCATTTGGTTTGTTCCTCTCTCTTTGTATTTCAAAATTTCATTCATTGATTTACATAAAATTTTTAGGAAAGCCAGCACACCTGTGCTACTCGACATTACAGGGCATCTGCTCCCAACCAATGGTAACAGGAAAAGGCAGATGTTTTGCTGTGGACATGCCACTTCTACAAAGGTGCCCAAAGGCAGTCAAAGCACCACAAAATAAAGGTTAATTTGAGGTTAGGAGGAAATATTCGTAGAAATAATGCACAGCACTAGCTTTAAAAAGAACCACATGTTTCTCAAATGCATTGACTTGCTTACTGTAAAATTAATCAGTAGAATCACTTTTCTATAAAGAGAGTATCTCCACATATTTTCTCAGTATTCCGCAAGAAACTAATGCTCTAGAAGCCAAGACCTTCATGAATATCAACCACAAAATGCTCTTTGAAACAAGGTCTGTTTAGATCAATATCCTTCTTATGTAACTAACACAATACTAAGCATCAACGTAACTGTTTGAGAAGGGGTTTTTGTACACCTTTTTTCCACCTGGTGTAATTTTATCACAAAGACATCTTCCAGGCAAGTTGTTTGGTATCAGCCTTCAATATAACTTTTTTTTTTTCCCCCGAAGTTTACATTAGACAGTTTAGTGCAGAATATTCATCACAGTCCTTTGAGTAAGCAAAGGATACTCAACTCTTTGAGTTCATTTCCCTCTCATCCAACACAGCTACTGTAGTGAAGCTGCTTAGCCAGTGCGTAAATATAGGGAAGGGCTAGATGCAGACTAGCTGTAGGATATCCTTCAGACTTTAAGATTTTGCGAGCAGACTGGGAAAGCTAATCGGAAGAACTGGTGGAAGACTATTTAACATCCTGGATCATGACAAAGCAGCCAGTTAATTCACAGACTAGAGGTTCTACTAACCCCACCCAGAGCGTGCAAGTATCGTCAGCGATCAAAATTATGCTTGCCATTTATAGCTGGTGAAAAGTTTCAACAATTTCCTTTGCACAAAGACAGCCCTACAGTAATTCATGTCTTCACCACACTGGAGGACTTGGATATGCTCTGGCTGTCTGGCTAGTGGAAAGGTTGCTTAGAAACTTCATAAGCATTTTTCAGGGACATTCCACTTCTCCCAAAGTTTTTCTGTCTCTGATTCAAAGGACTCACTTTGACTTGACAGCTGTGACCCGCGGAAAGGCCTTTGTGCCTATGCAATCCCATGAAGTCTTGCACCTAAGAAGGGGAAGTTTCAGTTAAGGGAGGCTCTGCAACGGCATTTGTGAAGATGGCCTTTGGTTTTGGACAACATTCTTTCTTCAAGTCAGTCTACAGGTCCTTCGTTGAAAGGCAATGATTTTTATACTTTCTCTAAAATGAAAATATCTTAAGGACATGAAGCTTATTTTTAATTACTGTGTCCTCAGTCTTTCAGACGGGTGTGGATTTGGGGCAACAGGTACACACTTTTAAATAATTAAGCACAAGGCTAAATCAAGTGCAATTCAACCCATTTACTTTAAAAGTCTCTGTTAAAAGATTAATGGTTAATATGATAGGACCTGCAAGTATCAAATCACTCAGAAACTTGCAGCATGTCGTAAGCTTCCATCTCTTCTAAATAACCTTAAACTTGTATAGGAGTGGACAGTGACACACCAATAGAAAAATCAATGACGCATCAAATTCTCTGATATAGCCATGCTGGGAAGAGTCTGACAGAGGAAAGGAAGTCTTCCATGGGGCTGCTCTTCCTCAGTGGTTCCCCTTCCTTCCTAAGTAATCCAAGTCTAGTCTACTCCAGTCTGATCTGCCTTACTTCTGTCCTTTCTTCAGTTTGCTTTCTCTGTAAAGCACGTAACATTGCTGAACTCAGACACTCTAGAAAGCATCAGAAGAAATTTAATTTTCACCATTATCTGTTCTATTTTAAACAAAAACACCAAAATGCCACAAACCACTGGGTAACAGTGTTAATTTTTTTTAATAATTCTTGTAGGTCCACCTCAGTTGTGCAGGTATGCATTTAATTTCTGTATGAATGGACAAATGAGAGGCAAATAACACAAAAAAGATCACCTTTTTTTAAAGGAAAAGATAATATAGATAAAGAAGATTAATGAAATATTTTATTAAACGCACATGTATAAACCTGAGTCTTTTGCTGACTTTGAAAGGAACAATCTGTTCTATGGGAAAGAAGAAAATTCACAACTTTCTAACAGACAACACTAGATCTTTTTCTGCCAGTGACAGTTAATCATTCATTTTGCCAAATCTCCATACACACTAAATACCTGTGGATACTGTCTTTCCAGCACAAGTTTCTTGCTTTTGCTGACCCAGCATACTCTGTTGGACACAATGTTTCTCTGCAGGATTAGCATGCAAAAAACCACCACCTGCAAAAGTGCTTCAGTCAGTTATAAATAGATTCCAGGACAGAAAAAAAGAACCAAACAACCCCCAAAACCAACAAACCCCAGAAAAAGACAATATAAAACATTAACTTCCAGTTAATGCATTAGAAAAGCTACTGCTTCTTGCTCTTTGCCATTTTTCTCTCCTCAAAATATGTTCTAAAATCCAGTATATTATATGCCAAATACAAGGTGATAGCTTAATAATTGAGTAAAGCTGGTTAACGTGGCAAACAGATGGAATGGTTTAGTTTCAGTGTCATGGCAGACAGTCAACAGCAGCAAAATAAAAAACTCAGAAAAGTGAAGGTTCAGTAGCTTTAGTGAGGGTTTTAAATACAGGTGTTAAATTCTATGCTAATTTACACTTGCCATAATTCCACATATATCAGTGGAACTGCAGATATTCTAGAAAACAGAATTTGGTCTTCTGTGTTCAAAACTAGTTTTGCCACACACCTATACAAAATAAGATTGGTAATAAAGCCTATAAACCATGAATGTCCAACTCCATACATTACAGCAATTAATTTGCAGTTGTTTCTACCTTTTCTAATAATAACTACTTGGGTGGAATGCTCTGTTCTGGGTATTTGCATCAGATAATTTTCTAAAATTAATTTCAACAGGAAATGCCAGCCATTGCCAGGTATGTCTGCATTTAAAAAAAAAAAAAATCTAAAAAAAAAAATCTAGTAACACATCTGTGCATTAGGTAAAGACCTTGATATGTGACACAGCAATGTCTCTCTGGTCTGTGAAAAGCTGCCAACGTTTGGCAAAGTTGTAAGCTCTGGGCACGTGTTCAATAGATACTTTAAGCAGCTAATTTTTCCAATGATTACATTCTATTGAACGTGCCTCTGCTTCAAGCTGGGCTGGATTTTCCCTGAGCTATAGCTTTAGGTCCAAACACCCAAGCTGGAACAAGGAAACGGCCTCTCCTTATCTCTGAACTGCAGAACTGACAGTGTGGAAGAGAAACACGGATATACGCAGGGCAAGCAGAAAAAGGACAAGAGGACTAGAAATGAGACCTGAAAAGTGTCTAGGCCAAAGAGTCAGGGTGAGATATGGGAATTACACACAGACTTAAGACAGGTAACCAACATTACTATTACATGTGATTTGGAAAGGAGAAGCATTCAAGTCGAAGGGAGAATCACATTTCTTACCTTTTTAGTACTTGATTTTTCAAAGAGTAATATAATTATGTTTACATAAGAGCACTTTTGTGCAATTTAAACTAGTTTAGAAAAATAAACAATATAACAGTACTCTAATGTGAGATTGGAAAATCACAGTACATCATTCACACAAACACTAAGCTACAGAATGTGCAAATACACTTAGAAAATTTATTCTTGTAAACTACAGGAGGAACAAGATCAGTGTTAAAATTCTAGACGGGAATATTAGACCTCTTTGAAGCTATAGATAATTAATTCTGATTTGAGCATAAATGCGATTTGCTAGTTGTGCACTAAGCATTTTATAATTTAGAAAGGTCTTCTCTATTTTACAGTCTGTGCAAGTCTATTATCTTGAGGGATTAAGATTGTAGTGCATTTCAAGAAACTCTGTGAGCAGTGGGATGCTTCCTGGATTCCTTAAATGGTCTTCAAAAGACTCCTCTTAGCAGAAGAACACATTACAATAACAAAGGTACACAATAAAATTTTTTTTTTACGTTAACTGGACTCCATTGAAGTAGATGTTCAACATTAAAATTTCTAGTGACTTTTTTTTAGTACGGGAATAAGCTAAAACTATTTTTGGCATAAACTGTCACCTTGCAGAGATAAGTCATATAGTAATCCACGACCATGGGTACATAGTTCATATTTCACAGAATCACAGAATCATGTCAAGTTGGAAGAGACCCACAAGGATCATTTAGGGATGTTCTGCAGTTTCCTGCCTAATTCAGTCTTCTGGTTTTACTAGAAACATCCTTAATGCACTATTGATATATGCCAAAGTTTGCACAGATCTAACACAACTTATAAAAAAAAAGATTACACCACTTTATCAATTTCCAGAATTGCTTTCCTCTGTTGTTTGAAAGTATACATAGCAGTTGCTTCATTATTGTGCTGTCATCTATCTAGACTTCTGTGAGGCCTTTGATATGTTACTCCTCAACATCCTGTTCTCTGATTTGGAGAAGTACAGATTTGATAGATGGTCTACGGAATGGATAAGGAAGGGGCTGGCCGGTTGCAGCCAGAGGGTAGTGGTGAACAGCTCAGTGTCCCTATGGAGGTCAGAGATAAGTGGTGTCCCTTAGGGGTCTGTTCTGGGACCAGTGCTGTTTAATATCTTCATCAATGACAGAGACAATGGGATTGGATTGAGTGCACCCTCAGCAAGTTTGCAGGCAAAACCAAGCTGAGCGGTGCAGTTGACACGCCTGAAGGAGGGGATGCCTGAGGGACCCAAACAAGATCAATAAGGTGGCCCACGGCAATCTCATGAGTTCCTGCACATGATCAGGACAATCCCTGGTATCAATACAGGCTGGGGGATAAAGTGATTCAAAGCAGTTCTGCCGAGAACTTGGGGGTACTTGTGGATGCAAAACAAGTATGTATGTTTGGAGTATGAGCTGGCAATGAGCACTCGCAGTCCAGAAAGCCCATCGTGTCCTGGGCCACATCGAAAGCAGCGTGGGCAGGAGGTTGAGGGGGATTCTTTCCCTCTACTCCGCTCTTGTGAGACCCCACATGTATCCTGCTCTGGGGTCCTCGGCACATGAAACACATGGACCTGTTGGAGAAGGCTCAGAAGAGGGTCACAAAAATCATTAGAAGGATGGAACACCTCTTCTATGAGGAAAGGCTGAGAGATGAGGTTGTTTAGCCTGGAGGAAGCTCCAAGACCTTATTGTGGCTTTTTAGTACTTGAAGGGGGCTTAAGACAAAGACAGTGACAGACTTTCTTACTGTGCCTGTAGAAACAGGACAAAGCACAGTGGTTTTAAACTAAAAGAAGGCAGATTCAGACTAGATACAAGGAAGCAATTTTTACTATGATCTGCCAATCAATCACACCACCATCTTGGTTTCAGTATCTCTGCCCTCAGAGAAAAGTGCAACATAAAACAATACCCATACAAAAGGAGATTTGTTAAACAAAAGTTAACACATCAAGATATCAATGCATTTAGGCAGTACATTATCAGCATTAGCAACAATAATACACGAGGAGGTGATTTTTGATTTCTCAGAGATTTAGATTGCATAGATCTCTGCACAGTCCCAGTGCAAGTAACTTTTAAAATATGTATGAAATACTATTTCTATAGGGACTAACAAGTGACCAACAGCTTTGAGGTAACCTTTTTGAGTTGTAACATCAGATGAATTAGCCACACAGGTAAATCAATATTCAAAAATAACATCCTATATAAAATGTGGGCAATGCAAGGCTTAACGCAACCTCCTATTAAAAAAGCCTTTTTTGTGCTACTGTATAAAGCAAGAAAGTCTTTAAAGTCCTTCCTAAGAGACAGAACATATATACATAAGAGATTTTTAGACACTTTTGCTATGGATTTAAAATACATTTAAATTAGCAGATCTACATGCTCTCTTAACACCTCTCATGCAGTGTTTGTGAACTTTAAAAGCTTTCCATTTTTTTTGAAGGCACAATCTTTCAAGTTATAAGCTACTCATTTCTTATTAAGGTCAACAAAATTAATAGGTCTTAAGCAGATCAAAACATTTTCATATCAAGAAAAGTGACATAAAGAGAGCTAGACATAAAGCATCTGTAATTACTAATAACTTAATAACTTTTTCCGCCTTTACAGCTGAAATCACACACAGACTTTTCCCACTACGGTATTAAGAGAACTTAGGAATGAGGTTTATGTAGATAAATCTATGGGCTCAAGACGGTGTCTGGCCTCTGCAACCACACAAATAGCTATTAAATTTAAGAGACATTGTTTGATACATCATCAAAGACTGTGTTTCAGCTTCTATATGCCTCTGCTACTTTCAGCAACCAAACATGTCAGCTTTCAAGTAGGCATTATCTAGAAACCATGCTGCCCTGAGAGAATGCAATGGAGAAGAATGCAGATCTGGTGGTTATCTTTTTTGGTTTTGGTTTTGTCCAGTCATTCTGTTCCATAGAGGACACAATCCCCTAAGACTTGCAAAGCAAGGCTGCAGTGATGCAGCCACTTGGGGGAACTAATTGTTCAGATAATAGCTGAAGGGAGGTGATAGAAGCACTGGTCATAAACTCATAATTCATAACCCTCCAATAGCGTTGCAAATATAAATTAGGTACTTTAGAAGGTGGGGATAAACACTTGTAATTGGATTTTTAAAAATTATTTCCTGGGAGAGTTGCCAGTTGAAATTTCTTTTAGTGAGCTTCAGGAAAGATATGGACCTAAACAGTAATTCATCCACTGTAAAGTCAAAGTCAGTGTAAAGTCAATTCTAAAGGGTGTGTTGATCAAATCAACCTGGATGGTATCTCGATATGCCTAATGTAAGTGGTAATTAATAGACTTATTTTTTCTTAAGTGCAGGAAACAATAATGACCAAGTCTGCTAAAAAAATGATGGCAGAATTCTTCAGAAACTATGCAGCACGAAAAGGTCAAGTAGAAACATTTTATGAATAAATCATAAAATATTTTCTGATTAGATTTTAGCTCTCCTTTCAAAGAAGAGAACCTATCTACATCTCTACCCTCCTTAGGACAGAAAACACATATGTCTGATTGCAGTAAGGAAATTATGCTTCTTACTCCCCAAATTAATTTTTTTGCAAATACTGATGTGCAATTAGAGAGCACAACAGAAGAGGAGAAGTGTTATTCCTTCCACAGAGTACCACTTTTTGGTTTTTGGTGAAAATCAGAGCACTTCTTTCTAAAGAAAGATTGTATGCAAGAGAAAACAATTAATTTGCCACTTTGGTTCAATAGAGCAAATATATTTTACTTGAGGGATTAAAAACCCATAGTACAAACCTCAGAAAGTGCTCTCTTATTCAAGATAAGCAGAGGATCAGAAGACTGTCTGGCTTGGCTTGGCCTATTTTGAGTCTTCTGTTATGAACTTTACACAGTTTATCACTCCCCAAAGAAAGGACCAGAACAATTGTTGAACTTCAAGGATAGTTGGTATTTCCTGAGGGATTTTGTAAATAGCTCATTTCTCTCGAAAATTACCTAAGTGGTTTAAGTTTTGAATGGGGAATCTCTGTTCAAGGTTTCTGTTTGCTCTAGCTGTGCCCCCTTTTCTTTCTTCATGACCCAGATGTCTTCAGAAAAAGACTCTCCAGCTCTGGCTGAGGTATGCAAAACATTGCCACCTGTAGTTAATTCCACTGAAGATTAAAACAGAAATAAAGATTAGAGAATCTCTACAGTACTTCAAATAGGTACGTATATTTTTTCAAATACAGACATGATCCTGTATAGCACAGGAAAACTAAAACATCTTCTCAAATATATCTCCTGGCTAGGCAGACATTAGTTTTCAGAACATATAAAATTATCACTTGCTGCTGAACCCAAACATAGCTAAGTCTTACTGACAGTAGCAGAAAACAATTTAAATTACAGTATCTGACTGGTTTTCCTCCCCCTGTGCATAATTACAATTATTTGCAAAGCTTATTGGCATTGCTAAGCTTGTTAGTCACTTTGCTGTTTAAAGGCAGCACTGGTTCTCTAAACAAAGTAGTAGATGTGCTGTAAAGGAACTACCGAATATACTGCTGAGAGGTGATATTGTATCAGCAAACACTGGCAACGGTGGCAGCATACGAGGGAATGGAAACAGGAACGCAGTCAACAGGAAAGTAGGACAAAGATTATATCCTCAGCTTGATGTGTGCCGAAATATCAGTCCATTTCTAATTAAATTCACGTGTGTCCGGCGGGTGCTGGCAGACAAAGGAGCCCCTCGGTGCCGAGTCCAGCAGGGGGAGTTGGGCGCCCATGGCCGCAGCCTCCGGCCACCGCCGCGCCAGGCGAGTCCTGCTGCCGCCGGGAAACCACTCCCGGGCACCTCCTGTTCCCCAAGCGCCAGCTCAGTTTGGATCTGCAACTCGCGTCGACTACCCTACGGTACTTTCCAAACAACAGACAGGCTAAACTATTTCTCTAATGGTTTTGTAACGCTAAATGTGGCTCGTCCTGAAAAATCCACGAAGTCATGGAATCTTGTACAGCACCGCACACAACCTCCGAACAACTCTGTGAGGAGTTCGGTTAGTATTTCAAAGCATTCTACCTCTGCAAACTTTTCAGTCAATTCAATGTTTTGTATAACTTGAGAACATCCTGAAGCAAAGCAGTTGAGCTTGCCTGTTTAAAAGTAATTACTCCTATTAAACTATTCAGTATCTTCTATAACTGCAGTACAATTACTGTGCAGGAGATTAAAAAAAAAATCCTTTAGTGATTTTGTGTTAATCTAGTTGATGTCCTAAATGGTATGTACATATTACTAGAAGCACCGGTATTTATAATAGATGTTCTTCTTTTGGCAGACATATGAAAACAAAGCACTGTTACCAACATACTTTCCCATCCTAAGGAATACCCCGGAATCTTTGTGAAACTTTCTCGCTTTCATCACTGCTCAGCTCATCACACAAACCATCTGCATAAATAAAGATGTAAGCATCTGCTGTATGGCAAATGGTCTCAGGGGCAGATGTTTTTATCCTTGCATTCATGTCACTGGCTTGGATACATTATTTGAACAGATGTACACAATCTGAAAGTGTCGTGTCCCACAGTGAAATGTCTCCAACTGCTTTCTATCAAAGTACATAAATGCTATTTGCACCTGCATTTATGTTAATGATATAAAGGCAGCAGGGGTTCCAGCAACGTGAGAGCTGATGCTAAGAAACACATTTACATGGCTAATTGAAGTTTAAGATCTCCCAGCACCAAATGACCATACTAACATGGATACAAAATGACTGAACTATACATTAACTTTAAAAAAAGCCTATGGATTTAAAAAAAACTTAAACATACTCAAGGAGAAAAACTATTACTTCAGCTGGTGATATCCTTCTCCAATGTATACTTAAAAAAGACAAAAAGTATTAAATAAATTCCTAGGTAAATCAGGATAGCCTTATATTTTGCAAAATATTTGTATAGGATACACAATTATTTTATGTCAGAGTCATTTAAAAAAAATTTCATAAATCTGACAAGGTGAAAGGTTTTTCAGTTCACTGAGGCACACTGGTATTTTATGTCATTATTGAGCATTGTAAAAAAACCCCATCACTTGCTCTGGTAAATATTTAACATGAGTGTGAATGACAGAATATGATGCTTCAATGATAGTTTCATAATTCCTAGGAAAAAATAAAATCTGAGAAGTTAGATATTTATCATTATTCAGAAAAGTGCATCTATTTGAACATGGAGTTATGATTGCTTGTTATATAAGAGATAATCACCTTTCTTATGAAATATTTTAAATTGAGAAAACTACAGATGTCCTGAAGGAGTACAGATCCAATTACAGAACTCCTGCTATTACATGACAAATCGCAGCAGTGAAGGGTTTATGCTGTCACTCAAAGAACTTGCACTAATCATTACTTCCATACTTCACTGAAAAATAACAAGCACTTTTGAAGTATGGAAACACTGACAAAAATGCTATAATGAATGTAACTGATGGATAGGTTCTACTGTGAATATCATTTATTTTCAAACCTTTTATTTGTAAGGAATGCAGCAATGTTAGACATGTACATAAACCATTATAAATTGCTAATAGCCTCCATATTTTCAAAGTGCCACATTTAAGAAACAAGTGGTGTTTGATGCAAAGACAAAAAAGTATGAGAGTAACAGAGTAAAAAAAAATATACACACTAATATATTTGTAGAATATCATCGTTTCACACTGATATAGTTCCTGGTCATGATCTAGTTATGACTTCTAAAATGAACACTCACTTCCAAAGTCTACCATTCACTCTGGGTGCAATTTGATAACACTGGATAATACTGACTGGAATGGATTTTGGTTTAGGGGAAAAAAAAAAACCTTCAAAAAAACCTCAAAGCAAATGATTTATCAGTTTCAAGTTTGCAAACAGTTTCACAGTCTATATTCTCCTCCTATTATTCAGAAATGGCTTTAACATAAGACTGTAACCAGGGTCAAATTCCTGTTACTTAAAGGAAAAATCAAATTAAGGCTTTTAAGTGTTCAAATGAAGTACTTCAGTCACAAGCATACAGATGTAGAGCACACAGGGGTGGACAGCTTTAGCCAAGAGTAAGTACTATCTCCCTTGAAAGAATAGTCCCATTAGACACAGAACTCATCAACTAACATCAATTTGCATGACATGCTTCAGGAACCACTTCCTCAGAATTATTACAGCATCGTAAAAATACTCAGTCTTCACAAAACAGGTAAAGTATAAACTTACATGACACTAAAAGCTCGAGGCTTCAAGTTAAGTAATATATAGTGCTTTTCTTAATTAACATAAGTACTAACAATGGAAACTTAACTGACAACCAGCAACGGTTCTGAAAGATCCATTAGAGCAGATGTTGTATCCATCACACATTCACTCACATTTAAGAAGCATCATTAAAAATGACACTCATGTTAAAAATCATATTTAAATGTCAGCATTGTGACAGATCAAAAGGGAAAGGAAACTGAAGTTACAGCTACACATTTAGAGGCTTGGGAATACACAGTTCAGCACTAAGATCCTTACTAATAATGGAAGGAAAAAAATCAAGACACTAACCCTACTGAAAACTATATAAAACAAAAGTCGACCTTTGAAGAGACAAAACATGGAACAAAGAGTTAAACACAAAAAATGTTAGTAAGGATAGGAGTGCTGGAGAAAAGGCATTCAAAATAATAATAAAAAAAGGTCTAAGTTAATGTTTATTTTCTTGTTTCTCCTAGTCTTGTAGCACAATTTGGAGATAGATCTGACCCCATATTATATGGGGATCAAATATAGCAATGATTTTCAAATATATGAGAATTTAAAAAAATGTAATAAAACCTGAACACAATGCTGCTGAATCAAACAAGAAGCAGATTTATGCTTTCCAAGTTTCACCTACAGGTGGTAACAGTAATTAGCAATACCCTAAAGAAGAAAACAATTCTAGATATTGCAACTGTTTAAAGTGATAAACGCTGCAGTATAACGGCTTTTTTTTTAAAACCACACTACAGTAGAATAGTAGACAAGAGTCATACAGTAATTACTAAGGATGAAATTTCTTCCACATTTTGAATCACAAGCGTCTAATTTCCAAAAGAAGTATAGAAAGCATACTGTACCTGCAGAAATTGTTAACGGATTCTGCATTATATCCTTGAATGGTTACGGCAATGTTCCTGGAAAGAAATACAGATACTTAGAGGCTCTGATAATTTTTTCAGAAACTAACAAAAAAATTCATAGGACGATGGCAACAGTTTCCAGACTTGTATTTCAGAATGGATATCAGTATGTCCATACCTCATGCAAAATCACCACCAGAGTTTTAAACTAAGCGTTTCTTTGGGCCCTTATATGCACCCTCCATATTTCAGTACTGTGCACTACTAAGTTAGGCTTCTTGTAATTAAAACCCCCTGTTAAAGCCATGAAAGAGGGAATGTCATGAATTCCAATGAGACAATGCATTCTTAAGAATCACAGACAATGTACGGTCATTTTCCTTTAAACACCTGTTGGACCTGTTGGAGAGGCTCCCAGAGGAGAACCAATAAGTTGATCACAGGGCTGGAATACCTCTCCTAGGAAGACAGGCTGAGAGAGCTGGGGATCTGAAGAAAAGAAGGCTCCAGAGAGACCTTAGAGCACCTTCCAGTACCTAAAGGCAGCCTGCAGGAAAGCTGCAGAGGGACTTTTTCAAGGGCACATACAGATAGGACAAGGGGTAACAGCTTTAAAGTGAAAGACTGTAGGTTTAGATTAGATATTAGGAAGAAATTTTTTACTACAAGGGTGGTGAGGCACTGGAACAGGTTTCCCAGGGAAGCTGTGAATGCCCCATCCCTGGAAGCATTTAAGGCCAAGCTGGACACAGCTTTGAGCAGCCTAGTCTAGTGGAAGGTGTCCCTGACCACGGCAGGAGGTTTGGAACTAGATGGTCCTTAAGGTCCCTTCCAACCCAAACCATTCTGTGATTCTATGTGACGGCATGGATCCCACAGAACTGACCGATCAGCAGAATCTTCTGTGGATACTACAGTGAAGATATTAACTTGTTCTTGTGAACCAAATATTACACTGCCATCCTGCATGAATCTGATGTTGGTACTTAGAACAAGATCTGATGCACTACATTTGACAAAATGGCATTACATGAAATGGCCACCCATGGCTAACTTAAGAATTAGCTATTTCTCTCCAGTGCAGTCAAGTGTGTTCTTCAAGCTTTGGTGAAGTGTGATTCAACAGTCAGGTAACAAAGACATAGTATAATATAGTGACAATATAAAACTGTGTTATTATCCACTTAGATTTTCTTTTTCATAAAACAGCCTAGCTTTTGGAATGGCTGCATAATAGTTTGGGGTTCAACTGACCACCACTAACATGTAAGAAGTCACAAAGGGTACAAAGCTCTGGTATAAAGGGTATAAAGGTTCTCCTGATGCAGTTGGAGGCTTTGGGAAGGTAACAGATATGTCTATTGACTAACATAACAACTTCTTGGGGGCTTACCCAGATCCAGGCTTTCATACCAGTGCACATCTACAACACTCCCACAAACAAATCCAGCCACACAGATGTGGAGATTGCTTACTTTCCCAGTCAATTTAATAGCCAAGAGAATCTTGTATAAAGAACATGCCAAACATGCACCCAAGACCCACACAAAGTACCAAAAATTGGTCTTGGTTAAATACAGAAATAGTTAGGATGAATTCTGATGCACTTCCCAAACAAAATAAGTCTTGAATATATTTCCGTACCATCATGCAATTGACTCTCAAACAGCCAGGGTGAGGTTCTGGGAAGGAGATGGTTCTGTAGGTAGCAGTGAAGTAAAAAAGAGGCAAAGCCAATTCCATCTTCAGGAGTTCAACACCAAAGCATAAAAGAACATTAAGTGTGGCTGCTGTGAGGAGACCTCTCAGTGAAGCTCTTTGGTACCTGTACCTACTCTGCTGAGCCATACGTAATAAGCAGCTCTGGTACATCAACCAGCACCTCCTGGCAGAGGTTTGCTGATGAGTACCAGCAGGTCCCAGGCTCCCCCACAGAGCCTCTGTCCGTGGTACTTAAGCAGCCAACCCCTGAGCTGCCAGACCCAGCACACAAACACGTCAGGTCATCCAAATGTAGCTTAACACCATGGGAACATATAGACAACTCCCTTAACATACAAAAATGGAACAGACCACTTTGATGTAATTTTGGAATGGCAAAACACTTCTAGAAACTAGTGTTGGGTTACAACTTCTGTGCCACCTACACTGTAACACATCCTTTTTTAAGACTGTATTGATCAATAACATCTCTCAAGAGAATCAAAGTCAGTCAAAGTTTTCCTTCCGCTTTAGTATTTCCAGCACTTCAAAATGTACTGAAGTTGTTAAAGAAACACATATTCTTGTAAAAACAATGTAAGAAATGATGTTCAAATGAAGATCCTCAAAATTATTATTCTGAAGTCACACTTCTTAGGTTTTCATGGTCCTTCTCTCTGTATAGGAGGATTATATTATGTAAGAGTGCCCCACCTGTTTTACAGTCTTACATTCAGAACAAATTTTAGGTCATCAACTAATAATTCAGGCTATCCAACTGCTTTTACTGAATACTGAGGAGGCAAACGTTCTTACAGTTTTCCCTGGTTATATTTGAGTCCAATACTGGCTCTTTCCAAATACTGGAGATGACATCAATTATTTCTATCTTATATTCTCATAAATTCTTCTCCACCTGAGAGCCTATCCCAATGACAAAACTTTTAAAATTCTATATAATCTTAAAATTTGTTTTATTTAATTTGTAACCCTAGCATAGGACAGTAAGTAAAATTATTCAAGCCACAGTACTCCAGAACTCAAAACAGTTCTCTAGAAATCTGCTGCTGACTACTCAGAGATGAAATCTATTACAAGAATTTCAAGTGAAGTGGAGTTGAACAGAATTAGAAAGTAAAATCTATCTTAATGACATAAAATAAGCTCCATCATGCCTATACTATTCCTTATGTTACCACAGAATGAAAGGATAAATTAATTTTCAATCAGAAGAGGCAAAAATAGTAAATAAACTGGAAAAAAAATCCTACACTGTAACTTGGTCTCTAACAACCAAAGAAAGCAGAGCATATACATGTAATAATTTAAAAGCAATTTTCACAGGATGATATGCACAGGTCTTTTATATGAAACAGGTGCCCTGATAGACACACTGAATCTGAATATCAGTTGAACCCAATTAACCTAATTTGATGCTTGTCCATACTAAGACATTTATCTTAGGTGTTACACAAAATCCTTTAGGATATTACACAGAAAGCGATAAATAGGCTGTAAAGGTTATGACATTAATTTTACTGTCATTCTCATGCTTTAAGCAGACATCAAAACTAAAAACCTCATCCTCTGGGGAAGAAGAACTATCTGAAAGTAATTATAGGACTTATTATCATAACAGTATTAAACTAAACCACTATGACCCTAACCGAATTTATTTTTGGTACCTTTTGTTAAAAGAACAAAGCTTCTCAATGACAACTGCGCCTTCTAACACAGTGAACATTAGTTCAGGTACCAGAAGAAAGCATTAAATAAAATCTTATAATTTCATACTAATTATGAATTTTAATTTAAAACTAAGCATGCAAAGAAGTGTTAGTCAAATATTATGTAATTTAATTTCTGAAGGAAAACACTCAGCTAAAAGGAAAAATTAAATACTTAGAACAGTTAAGAAAAGACATTCTCCTGACAGAAGCCCATGAAATGCCCATTTGTGTTTCAAAAGCAAATTTATTCACTTCATTTTTCACACCTGTTCTTTCACATACTGTGCCACCTTGTAAATGAGTGCCATGCAAACATTATTTCCCTTAATTTAGAAACTTTTCAACTGAAACCAGGTTTCCCTAGAAGCATGAAAGTATTGAATCAACATAGCTTCCAGGAAAGTTAGCAAAATCCATTGGTATATAAAGGCCAAGTTAGACTTGAAATAAAAGATTAACACACTGAAGCTACATGAAAATACCGAGGAAGATAAAAATGACAGACACAAAGACCGACTAGTGTAACACACAAAAGCATTTGTTCAAGCAAGTATATTTGCCAAAAGCCTGCAGTGCTTGGCTACTTTATAAAATCAAGCACAAGGCATTAAGCCAATTTGTTTAAAAAATGAAAACCCCTCCAAAATCCCAAGCCCAAATAACCAAGCAATAGCTTATTTGCACTTCCAAAAACCTGCAAAAATATTCTGCATTTCAGTATCCTCATCTTCAGTCTCAAATGTCTGATTTATTCAAACTTTTCTATTTTACATTGTATTTTTACACCAGGATTTCATCCTGTATCAGTAGATCCTTGTCTTCCTGTTCTACACCCAAAGAGATATGGATGTAGTCACAAAGAACGGCTTTCTTACAAGTGAAATTATAGAGTGCTTATGATTCCATACTTAGATAATTAACCAGGGGGAAACGTGTGTCCACGGCAGAATTCTTTTGGCTGAGCCCATTAGATGACTTCAGCAGAACCACAAAAAGAAACAGAACAGCACAAACCCAGCAGACCCTAAAACTCGGGTTATTTTTAAACTTTTGGTCATCCTGTGAGATGGACCAGTCCGAGTGCATTTCCTGAAGTTCAAGCCTTGCATGCACTGAATGCCACAGTGGCAATCCTGGACAAAAATGCTTCCCTTCATACTCTGTTGGGTGAAGTGGGGAAGGGTTGGCTGGCATGCCTACCCCATGCCCATCTGTCAGAGTGGAACTGTGCCTACACGACAGGTTCTATGCTACTTTCAGTAACACGTTGCTGAGAATAAAAGCTTATTTATGAAACAACATAGGGCAACTTCAACGTTCAGCTTAAAATAGCAAGCAAATGAAAAATGATTGCTTTTCTTGAGATTAGTCTTTCAAAATCAACTTCTAAGGTTTTTCAATTGTATGAATAAAAACTAGCACATACACTGCAAGAAATGAGGCTTTTCCACACATTTTCTACTATTGCATCCAGCCCAGTATACGGTCTCAGTAATCCCTATTTTACAGCTATAACTGTCTCCAAGAGAGCAAATTCAAGGACCTGTGAAAAAATGTATAGAAGTGAAATTTCTCAAAAGGATGCTGGGAGAAGAGAAGGCTAAAGGAGCAATATTGATTCTT